CTCTCTCTCTCTCTCTCTCTCTCTCTCTCTCTCTCTCTCTTCCTTTCTTGTGGTACAGAGATTGAACCCAGGACCTCACACATCTTAGGAAAGTTCTTCTATCTTCTATCCATTTTATTTTACATTTATGGATTATTTTCAATTGAATATTTGAAATTGGGAGAATTTGTGGTACTATAGGCTTTGTGCTTTAGATCCATTTCCCAGTTGAATATCCATTTATTTATTATAATATTTTCATGGTAAATGTGTCAGTTGTTTAATTTAAAAGAGAATATTTTAATTCATTGAACGTTAGTAACTTAGCCTTCTATTAGTCATGAAACAGAAAAAGATCTATCACATAAGAATCACGTTTCAGGATAAAATTGCTATGGAAACACTAGAAATAGACACAATAAAAAAATCAGAACCAGAATACCTTGGCAGTAATGAAACTGTAAGAGAATAATTCCCTCAAAGGACAATAAAACAGAACAAGGGAACATTTACAAAACAGTATTCAATTGAGCTTAAATAGAAGGGAACCGACCCTCTTCCAAAGAATATGTCTAGTTTTTTTTCTGTTCTTCTGTACATGTCTATCTTTTCCTTAGGCACAGATTTTTCTTTTCTTTCAGGGAGTCACTGCAGTTCTAGATACAGCCAAACTGCCACTGTGTCCTGTGGTATTCCTTTCCCATGGCCTGCTTCCCCTGTGCTCCAGCATATACCTTAATAAAGGCAAGTTTAGATGGCATTTTTTTTTTCTCTAAATGGTGGTTGCAGTGTTAACCAAGAGTTCACAACACCAAAAAGCTGCCTTTTTTCTTGCCAATATTTCTATTCCCAGTAGAACAAAATAGTCTGAACTGGCAACGTTAAGAGCTGGCAACATTGAGAGGCGGTAAATGGAAGGGCAGCTAACCGCAGAACTGCTGACCTTGCCTTTGCGGGATTTCTATTCTGGATTGATCAAAAGAACCATCTTCTCTTGAAAATGGGGCTTCTGATATCTGTTAAATCATAGATGAGTCACATTTTACCAGATGTGTAATAATTTCTTATTTGAGACATTTACATGCTTTTAATGTTCTACCAGAGGTACTGAGTTGACCTTATGTACATATATTTTCCTAAATTATCTTTCTTTTACAAAAATTTAGATGTGATCATGGCCAATGGTACTGAATATTTCTGAGTGAACACCCTGAGTTGGAAATATTGTATGTAATTACAAGTAGTATAATGTATTCTTTTTTTTTCAGTCTTTTTTGAGACAGGGTCTCCCTGTAGCCCCAACTGACCTGGAACTCACTATGTAGACCAGGCTGGCCTTGAATTCACAGAGATCTGCCTGCCTCTGCCTCCCAAGTGCTGGGATTAAAGGCATGCGCCACCACGCCCAGCTAGTATAATGTATTCTAATACCTTTATAGTCTTATCACAACAGGTAGTATATTTTATATAAATAATAGAAAAATTTGGAATTCCAATGTTGATCATTTAAATTTCTAATGTTTATTGTAAATATTAATGAATTAATGAATATTAACTTCATTAGTTTTCTGAGACTGCTGTTATAAAGCATCAAAACATGGGAAGCTTAAAGCAACAAAAACTTTGTTAATTGTTCTGAAAGATAGAAGTCACAGGGAACCATGGGGTGAGAAGGAAGGAGAAGCAGATTTTTCCAGGGACTAACTCCCTGGGAGGTTATCTAATCTCAAGTGGGCAGCCCTAAACACAGGTACATGCAAACACCCTAAATGGATTCTGTGCATCATATATATGTGTATTTATAAATATATGTGTATATATGTTGTAATAATAATTAAGAAGACAAGAAATTGTAAGTGAGAGGGGAGGACTATGAAAAGAGTTGGAGGGGAACTAGATGGGTAAAGATATAATCCTCTCTCACAATTTCTTGTCTTCTTCATATAAGGTCAATAAATATGTTTTGAATATTTTATAAGAAGCATCTGAAATAAGGATGGAAGAAGGGAATGAGAAAGTAAGTACAGGGGAGGGAATTGTTCCCTTCTTATTACTTACTGAAATAAATTACAGACATGATAAACAAATACAGAATAAAACCATCTTTCTTCTCTAAAATTACCAAGCATTTTAAATCCTATCCTAGAAAAGTAAAGGAAAAAGATGAAAAATACCTTACTCCTAATTTGTGAAGATTTTTAAAATAATAAAATTCACAGAACCCATCAAAGTAGAATATATTTACAACATATGCAATGATATGTGTGAACATGGTGTGTATTTCAAGTTTGTGTGTGTGAACATGGTGTGTATTGCAAGTTTGTGTGTGTGAACATGGTGTGTATTGTGGGGGGGCTGGTATGAATGCATACATGTGTGGAGGTAAGAGGTCAATATCAGGTGTCTTCCTCTATCACTGTCATCTTACTGTTTATGAGGCAGGGCCTCTTACTGAACCTAGAGGTCTCTGATTGGCTAGACTGACCAGGCAGAATCTTCAGAGTCTCATATTTCCGCCTCCCAGAGCTGTGATACCACCACACCTGGCTTTTTATATGAGTGCTGGGGAGCTGAGCTCAAGTCCTGAGCCCATATCCCCAGGACCCTCAGATAAACTTTAAATATTGAGTTCTCAGTGGGAAAACTAATGTAAAATATGAGCATAATAAATAAATGTTATTTAGGTAGCTGTGGAGGCTTAATTGGTTCTTACAAAACAGGATAAATTGAAATTCTAACATTCCATATCTTAAAATGTGGCCTTACTTGGAAACTGGATTTTTAAAATGATACTTCAGCTTAAATGAAGCCATCAGGATGAGGCCTAAACTTCAGTTATTTACAAAGTGGGATTTCAACACTGGCACAGATGGCCACAGAGAGAAAGCAATAGGAAATAACATGGGGACAAGAAGATTGGATTACTTGAGTGAGAAGTGTTGGTGGGCAAATACCAGAAGCAAGAAGAGGCGAGAAAGGTCTCTCCGTAGAGCAGTCGGGGAGCGCACAATCCTGCAACCTTCCCACTTAATTTCTGTTTTATTTTAAATGCATGAATATTGTATTTGTGTATTTTCACCCATCTAGCCCCCTCCGACTCTTTTCATAGTCCTCCTCTTGCACAATTTCTTGTCTTATTATTATTACAACATATACACACATACATTTATAAATACACACTAATTCTAGATAGTTCTGTATGCATGTGTGTGTGTGTGCGCGAGAGAGAGAGAGAGAAAGAGAGAGAGAGAGAGAGAGAGAGAGAGAGAGAGAGATGGAGAACTCTGTTCCATATGATAAATAAAAATGAGACTGAGGGAGAGAGAGTGTGTATGGTGGTCCCATGTCTATTTGTGCTGGAAAGATTCTGTAAGTTTTTTGTTTGTTTGGTTTTGTTTTTAAGATTCTGTAAGTTTTTAACCACTGAAATCTCCATCTCCACCAGGTCCACTTCTGTTGCAAAGCATAGTCTTTTTGAGGGCTGCTTTTACATCGCGGTTCCTCAGACAGTAAATGATGGGGTTGAGGAGTGGAACAATGACAGTGTAGAGAACAGACACAACTTTGTTTGAATTGTAGGCATACATGAGCTTGGGACGGGCATAGGTGAAGAGGGTTGTGGAGTAAAAGAGAGTTACAACTGTGAGGTGAGAGGCACAAGTGGAGAATGCCTTTTGACGACCTTGAGCAGATGGGATTTTGAGGATGGTGACCAGGATGGTGGCATAAGATGCTACTACCACACAAAGGGGGACAGCAATGACCATGAGGGCCAAGAAGAAGTCTACCAGTTCAGCCTGTGAGGAGTCCTCACAGGAGACATTGAGGAGTGGAGAGATATCACAAAAGTAGTGGTTGATATGTGGTGTGCCACAGTAGTGGAGCTGAGCTATGAAAACCATCTTAATCATGGCAGTGATGAGCCCACAGAACCAGCAGCTGCCAGCCAGCACTCCACAGAGCTTGTTGGTCATAATGACAGGGTAGCGTAGTGGATTGCAAATGGCTACATAGCGGTCAAAGGCCATGACAGCAAGGAGTATGTACTCAGTGCAGACAAAGGTCACAAAGAAGTAAAGTTGTGTCATGCAGCCATTGAAGGAGATGCTCTTGTCTCGGTTGAGGAAGTCTATGAGCATCTTGGGACTGATGACAGTGACATACCACATCTCCAGGAAAGAGAGGTGGCTCAGAAAGAAGTACATGGGTTTGTGCAACTGTCCATCACTGCAGATAGCCAGGATGATGAGAAGATTCTCTACCAGTGTCAGCAGGTAAGTCAGCAGAAAGATGAAGAAGAGCAGGACCTGGAAGGCTGGTCGTGTTGAGAATCCCAGAAGAATGAAATGTGTTGTTGCAGTGCGATTATCGACTTCCAGAACCTTGATGATCATGGCTGGCTGTGGGCATAGACAAAGTCAATTCCTCTGTGTCCCAAGTAACACCCTGTGGTTGAGGTTGATTGTATGGATAGCCTGACTCCAACGGTCCACCACAATGAGCACTTTCCTGCTTTTATTTCCTCCTGAATTGTGATAAGAGCAAAAAACTTTAAAGCAAAAATTAACTTTATGGAGCTTGTGTTTGAAATTCCTAAAATCAGATCAAGAGGTCTGATTTGTCCAAGATCACACAGAAGTGAAATTATACCTCCTGAGTCCTGGTGTTGTGCTTCTCAGTCTAACAGTTTTGGGCAGAAGAAGGTCTTGCATACCACTCTTTCACTCTGGGCACAGCATCCCCATCTATTGCATTCAAAAAGGAGGCAGAAGACTCGTTGCTCAGTAGCTAAGTGTAATTTATACGGTACTGGAGTAGCTGTATGACCCTACTTATCTGTAAAAATGTGATCGATTTTTTTAACCTAAAAAGTTTGCAAAGCTTGAATAAAGCAATTCTAGAGGACACCCACAAAGTTCATTGCAAATGCAAGTGAGATGTGAACATTCTTCAGCATCTCAGAGGATGAAGTTGAAAGAATAATTTGAAGGATAATGTTTCCTTCAATACGATCCATTGTATAGCCTTTCTTAGGAGGAATTTGAAATGGCACAATTAAATGCTGCTCCTGTCACCATATTAAGTGAACATATTATGCAAGCTTTCAACATATTAGTTACTTTATTTCTGAAGTGAGAATTGAAGGAAGGTCTTCACATTTTGTAAACATCAAATGGTCTTTAGAAGCTAACTTAGTTCCTATGGGTATATGTTGTTTTCTTTCTAAGCTGCTGTACTCAAACAACCACACTGTCTCCTCTATGCTCTGCTTTCCAAGGGCATTCCCAGCTCACAAACAACAAAACACTGAAAAACAAAATGACTCAAAAATCATCTACTGTTAATGAGGAAGGAGGAAGGGACAGGGACTCTAGTGCTTTTCAACATGTTGGATTAAAGAACTCATACTCTATTTGAGAGTAATATCATGAAAATCAT